TTTTTTTTACACTTAGAATTAATAATGCAAATGCTTCGAACAGCTGATTAGACCACTCAATTGAAAACCTGAACACTGACACAATTGCAGAAAAGAGTATTTCTTAATAACAGCACTACTTCAGGACTTCAGGCTTATAGCACACATTTCTAGAGTATTTCCATGATGACAGCTCATTATCCATCTCAGCATGTTCTAACACCCCTTGGAGACTATATGTGCTTGAGCTCATTTCATTCTGTAAGTTACCATGTCATTTTTTGGGATATGTAGGAAATATGAAAGATAATGCTAGCATTTTGTCTTTAAGTCATATCTAAAGTATTTGTTTAGTTTGCTCTGAAATTTTTAAAGCATGATTACTTTTATATACTGACTATACAATTCTTGTAATTTTAAAGGCTATATTATCCCCAGAAGGTAAAAGGAACCTCAGAATTATAGTTGCAAAATTAAATCAGGATTTAATTTAGAATTCTTCTAAGTCTCAGCTTACTGGCCTCCTCAATCCTATTTCTTGAAAATCTCAGCTTTGTTTAAAAACAAAAGAAGATAAAGGAGAAAGGCTACTTGGTAGCTTAGATTGTTGTGATATATGTGCAGGGTCATATTTTTACATTAAAAAGTATTACTCAAGACACAATGGTAATAATATAGTTTGAGTATAACATGCTATTGTGAAGTCCAGATTTTTAGGAAAGGATCCATTCCAATTTTTTTTTTAATTTTCACAAATTATCACAATAATTTAGGAAATGACAACTACATCCAATAAATATGTCCCTCATATTATTTCTCATATGTCTGGAATGTTTTTATCAAATTATCTATCATGATCTTACTTATATATATTTATCACAATTATAAGGTATATTATTTATCTGTATAAAAGCCATAGATTCCAAAGGATAAGTGATAGTAGCAAATCCTAAATAATGTATTTATGGAATTAAGTGATAACTCCTTAGTGGAACAATGCTGTGGTTTATGGGGTCTAGTAGATTGGTGAGTGTTATAAAACAACTAAATTCAAGAAATTTATTTAGCAATTGCTACAGGTTGTGCAAAAGAGAACACTCTCATAGACAGAGATAATTATGTCATCATCCAGGGAGAATGTTAGTGAGAAACAATGAGATATGCAGCCAAGAATCTTAATGGAAACCCTACCTAAAAGCAAGAGAGAGTGTAGAGTATCATAGAAACCACTTCCAAAAGAGACCTTTCTTTGTTTAGGATTTTTTATTTATTTATTTATTTATTTATTTATTCATTTATTTATTTATTTATTTATTTATTTTAAATAAGAGCTTTGTTATTATTATTATTATTATTATCATTATTATTATTTACATTACAATTCTTAATACACCTTTATACCACAATTTATCATATCTCTGTATACAAGATATGTTGACACCAAATTCACATCTTCATACATGTATTTTGTACAACGATGAGGGTCTCCTTCCACCGGCCATGTAATTCCCTTTCTCCCTCCCTTTCCCTCCCACCCCTCTTCCCTATCTAGAGGTAATCTTCTTCCCATGCTCTTCCTCCCAACCCCATTTTGAGTCATTCCTCTTATATCAGAGAAGACGTTCGGCATTTGTTTTTTGGGGGATTGGCTAACTTCACTTAGCATAATCTTCTGGAGTCACAACAGATGTATCAGCAGTATCAAAGGGGGCAGAGAAATCCATCAGAATGAGGAAAAGAAAAGGCTGTTCAATTTGGTCCTTAGGATGTCACCAATGACCTTAAAGAATTTGGCAATGCAAAGAGCAGAAAGCAGACAGACAAGAAAAAGTCAGAAATGGGCAGAAGTTTCCACTTGAGACTACTCTTCCAAGATGAAGATGGAAGAGGGGAACAAGGTGGTATTTAGGATGGAGAAATCTGAGCTTATTTGCAGGCTGAGGAAGAAAACCAAACAGAAAGTGGGAAATAGCTTTTACTATGGCTAAAACATGCTCAGCCCGGCTGTGTTCATATTCCCAAAAGAATGAAGAAGGAAGGTTAAGAGAGGGATTCTTTTAAGGCAAAAGCACTGGGTATTTATCTGGTCATCTTAGATTCCAACAGTAGAAGCTAATTATTTTTTAACTCATTCTGTATCTAGAGAGCATGGAAATATAGAACGTAGAGACGTGTTTAATAACTTTTGATTCCTGGTTCCTTCTTTGTGATGTCTTTATCCTCGATGTCTTTACAGAGAGAAAAAAATGCTCTTTTTACCAGGAAAAAAAAATGCAATAAATGCATTCTTTGTGCCAAACTGTGATAATAAGTCATGGTACTTATGTTTTAATTAAAACATGAAAGGGGATTCAAGCACCAAAATTTAATTGATGTTTTCAACATCATCCCATGTGCCAAATTAATTCATAATAATGACGTTCTTTGCATTTTTGAAGATTGAATTCATTCATAAAAATAATCAGTTACGCTCAGTCATCCAGTCTTTTCCTTAGTATTGTGCACACAGAAATTCATACTTTCAAAAGCAAGACCAAGGTATATATAACATGTGAAGCCCTCTGGGGTCTTAATATAAAACAGGAATCAACTCTTAAAATTCTGCTTTTCCTTATTATAAGAAAAGTTGTCCTGATATCTGGATATGGCCTCTATTTGCTACTTCTTAAATGTTATCTTTTGCAATATGGGTATGTGATAAATTAGGACTTATAAATTTCATTCCAGTATCTTGTTACTGTGGTCATATAAAATCCTATTTGGGAAGAATATCATGAGATGTTTTATTTCATAACGCCTCTGTCTCCTGGGACCCAACTTCCAAGGGAGAAAAAACATTGGCCACGACTGACCATGGAACACTAATGTCCAAAGAATCTTAATTCATTTCTTCACAAGCACTGCTTCCTCTTGAGTTGTACCAAGCAATATCTAAGAGTGCCCTTGACAGTTCTGCAAAAAAAGGGCTAAGGAAAGAGAAGAAAATGAAAAATAACACAGGAAGAAAACGAACAAGCAAGCAAAAGAGAAAGGGGTGCCAATGAGGTATGGTTGATTGACAGCCACAGTAACTGAGGTCTGGGCAGGTATCTCCCAGACCCCTTCATCTAACAACCTCCTGTGTGCATCGTTTATTTTAAACAAGATGGAGAGGTGGTGAGTGTTAACTTCTGTTGCAAAGGAGTAAAGAATTGGCCCTGGGAATTCTTCACTTACATTAATTAGGGAAGAGATAAAGCTCAATACAACCCTTGAGCATGTCATCAGGCCTGAAGAACAAATGTCAGAAACATCAAACAAAGTGAGAAAGAAAAAAAAAAATGTCTCCCAGCTTTGTGCATATCATTTTAGCTATTTTTTAAGACCAAACTCAAAGATAAGTTAAAAAAAAGAAACCAAAGAAAAATTTGTCTTTCTAAAAGCTCTTATTTAAAAGAAAAAAAAATGCTGCCTCAAGGCATAATCTATCACTTAAACTTGTGTTTTCCAGTTGACTGTTTTTCTAAAATTTCCATGCCCTGCAGCCTCTAAATCTGTGTTCAAAATTAACAAAGAAATAAAAAGTAAATCACATCAGCTGGCACAGTTCTCTAACAGGTCTCTCTTTGCCTCTCTACTCATGTACCATGAAGTTGGCCATCTCTGCCTAGAATGGAAGGGCAAAAATGAAACATTGGCACTTAACCACCCATTATTTGAAATTGGCATGGGGAGTGGTCAGAGAAACTTAAGAAAATCACAATCATCAATAAAAGGCATGTTAAAATAGGAGAAGAAGATTAAATGCCTTGTTCACATCTCTAGATTTCTGAGTTAAATAAGTTAACCAGCTAAAATCTAGAGTTTTCTCCTAACCAAAAAGAAAAAAAAAAAGATCCTGAACTATTCTTCAAGAAAAAGGTTTCCTATTGCCCCAAGAAACATAGCATTCTCTGACAGCCAATCCCCCTTGTACCTGGATACATCTCACAGTTCCATTTCTGGGATTGTCATAATTTTAGTATTTCCTTAGAGGAAAAGTTTTACATAGAAATAATACGGAACATGCAGGAAACTCCTTTAGGAGTTCTTTGTACAATATAGATGGGTTCTGAAATCACTGGAGAAACAACTTCCCACTTACCTTATGCAGACATGAGAAGACTTTGGGAGTAGATGGAAAGTTCTGGTTATCACTGGCTTGCTTTACCATGTCAAATGTCAAAAATATGTCACCTCCTATTTGTATTTTTTGTGTATATGTGATCTAGGATCCTTTAAGATTAAAGTGATCTAGAGAAGAGATGACAGAAGCAGTTGTTTCTGAAGTTTTCTGAATCAACTTTCTGAACAGTGATTGGGCATTACCTGTCATCTCCCATCTCCCCTTGCTTTTCTCCCTCCCTTGGGAAGAGTACAGGTACCAGCTATGATTTTTTTAGGGTTGTTCCATCTGCCTCCAGACTCCCAAAGGCCTAGTACACACTCCAATATGTGACTTCATACAAAATAAGATGGACTCCAAATTTAACTGAGTTCAAAAGCCAATCACGTTCCATAGAATGTAGGGCAAAGTTTTCATATCTTCTTTATCACCCAGTTCCAACTATTTAATAGGAACCAAACTCTTCTAAGACCTCCCATTTTAAAAATATATATGTTTCTATACTTTATAAAGGATGACTAGTAGATGTTGAGGTCTAATTTGTTACTCTTTTTTGAGAGTTTTACATTATTCATTGGATGAGAAAGACATTAGTTATATGTACTTTGGTCATAAAAGGGAGTGATGGTCAT